TCTGCAGGAAAATGTTGAAAAAAAAGAAAGTTCAGGTAAATATAAAATACAAACACAAACCACCATGTATGTGATTCAGTTGAGAAATAAGAAATAATAACATTGATATGAACCTTTTTTCTGTGAGAGTTAAAAAAATTGGCCATCCCACCTCCTCTCCTCTCTTTTCTGTCTCTGTCAGTAAAATTAAATGAAAGAAAGTATACGTACCAGAAAAAAAAATACATTTGATGGGAGTGATAGAAGTTTCCATCAACCAAACCATGATAAAGTAAACAAGTATTCAAGTACCTTTTACATTGACAGTTGGAACCTTTGGCCCTCCCACCTCCTCTCCTATCCTTTCCCTCTCCATCCTTTCCTCTCCTCTCTCCTTCCCTTGGTTTTCATTTTCTCTCTGCAGGAAAATTAGAAAAACATAAAGTTCAGGTAAATATGAAATACAAAGATGAACCACCATGTATGTGATTCAGTGGAAATAAGAAAGTGTAACATTGATATGAACCTTTTTTCTGTGAGAGTTAAAAAACTTTGGCCCTCCCACCACCTCTCCTCTCCTCTCCTCTCCTTTTCTTTCCTCTTTTTTCTGTCTCTGTTAGTAAAATAAGTGAAAGAAAGTGTAAGTACCAGAAAAAACTACATGTGATGGAAATGATAAAGGTTTGCATCAGTGTTGTTTTCGTCAGGCAGGACGAAAACTTAAATGACGACGTCAGACCCCTTTTTTCCTTGACGAAAATGAGACTAAGACGAACGTCACCAAAGCTCTGTAAAGACTAAAATGTGACGAAAATTGTATTCATTTTCGTCAGACGAGAACGAGACGAGACTGAATTGTTATTAGGTGGACAAACATAGTTTCAAAACATGCTTTTTTTTGTCCTAACAGTCACGTCCCCATCACACACGCACCAAAAGCCTCGCTCGCGCACAGCTGCGCGCACACAATCATACACATACACAGAGCGGCAGGTGGACGAGGCGCGCGCAAACACACACCGAGGCGGCAGGCACAGCAGCGGTGCCCAGTGGCCGAAAAAAGAGGGATGATTTTTGGTCCTACTTCAGATACAGTCCAAGTGACAATAAAACACAATGTCTTGTACGGGGGACGGGGAGACGAGACAGACGACAGTTGTGGAGCCACAGCTTCCTCATGCTGCGGCTTCAAACTGTCGGGAAAGAACACCACGAACCTCAAAAGGCACCTTTCATCGACTAAAACTAGACTAAAACCTTTTGAGTTTTCGTCGGACTAAAACTAGACGAAAACTATCAAGGATAGAAATGACTAAAATGGGACTAAAACGAAGAAGCATTTCGTCAAAATGACTAAGACTAAAACTAAATCTAAAATGCCTGCCAAAAACAACACTGGTTTGCATCAACTGAACAATGATAAAGTAAACAAGTATTAATAAGTACCTTTTACAGTGACAGTTGAAATTATTGGCCCTCCCACCTCCTCTCCTCTCCTTTCCCATCCGTTCCTCTCCTCTCTCCTTCCCTTGGTCCTCCTTTTCTCTCTCTCTGCAGGAAAATTTAGAAAAACATAAAGTTCAGGTAAATCAGGGATTCTTGAGAGTCGGGACAAAACACTTCCTAAAAAACTTTTTTTGAGAATGCACACTATATTGATTAGATTATTACTGTAGAGAAAGGTCTTAGCTATTTAACCCCGTAAAGGAACAGGCTCTAAATAAAAACATTTTTTCTATAAATTAACATGTTTCCCTTAGACAGTGGATTTGTGTCAACTCCATCAAACACACAAAAAAGAATATAATTTTAATAATTCTAGTCCAACAAGAATCTAAAGTTCTGATGTATGTTGTAATAGTGTTTAGTTACTCTGATATGCATATATGCCTATTTTGAAAACCAAGATTTCTAAATAGTTGTATTTTCAAACTTTGTTTTTAATTTTTATATTATAAAAACAATTTCTGTAAGTAAATAAGACACAAGAGGATGTAGAGCCAATGCTCCTTTATTACTTAAACAATATAAACTGAAGAAACAATTTGTTTTTTCTCCAGAAATTAAGAAAAACATACATCTGACGGTGTTGACGAACACCTGACGGAGTTGACGAGAAACTGACAGAGTTGATGACATTGCATATGTTATTGAACAAATGTGTTTTTAAACCGATTGACAATAGGTCAATAGGTGAAAATAGATTAAGAACTAATAACTCCTTGTTTTCATACAGAACATACCGTTAATGCAATTAACCACCGCACCGACAAGGCGTTTCCAAGCACATTTTCGTATTTTGGTGAGTTGTGCAGCCCGGCATAAGTACCCCCCCTCCCCTAACTCAGCTCCTTCCAGCGGCGTAGGTCAAAGGGAGGGAGGAGAGAGAGCGTGGAGTGGGTTTAACACAGCCGAGACCTGTATTGACCAATAACATCAGCTCTTCTCGCCTTTGAATCCGCCACTAGTGAGGCGTATTACCATTTTCATGAAGTAGTAAAAGAGATCAAGAGATGTCTGAAGACAGCAATGCCACACGATGGCGACAGAAGGCAGCCCCTCAACAAGTGTCACTGTAAGCACTGCATTGGGCGTCCTTCACACTGTCTCATATAAGCACAGATGGATTTGGTGTGTGTAATGTTGGACCCACTGGTAAGACAAACACCCTTTTCCACAAATAAAGACAATCACATTAAATTGCATATATTTAAACCTCACATGACAAAGGTGGGTTGTGCGCAAAGGTCACAACATAAATTCCAATAATGGCATTAAAATCGGAACCAATCTGTGTGTAAATCGCGCTCCGTGGCCTGGCTCTTTCTTTCATAGATGTTGGCATATAAAATAAATTTGGCTCACAAAACTGATTATTATAATATTTGTATGTAGGCTTAAAGTAAAAAACTCATCTGATCACTGGAACAAATCATCTGTTCAGCTGCCGCAGCAGCAGCTGCAGCAGGACGGGTAGAGGACACGGAGACATGTCCAGGTTGAGCTGCGCAAGAAATAAGAGGAAGAGGAAGCTAGAAATGGGGGCAGACAAATTAAATATCTTGCTAACTTCATCATGTGTGTTTATTTACTAGATATTTGATTCAATTTCATGCGGATTCAGCAGCTGTGTTAATTTGGTCAGGTTGAGTGTCCAAACGCATGCCAAATGCGCTCATCAGATCAGATATAGATCAGAATACATCGATATAGATCTAAATGTATGTGCTGACACAGATTATTAGTTGTTATTGATTATTTATTGCACGGAAATATTCCTGACACTGTGGAAACCTGCTGGTGAGGCCGATATGCCGCCGGTCTCCTAAAATACCACTAGCCCATCCGGATCCACCTGCGCTGAAAGCTGACCAGGTTTGAATCTGCGAGCTTTCAGCGCACTTTACATGCCGGCAACAAGTACGAAAATGTCACTGCACCAAATGATTCTGTGGACACCTCACCCTGCCACACATCCACGCCCAGCTTGGCGGACCTCGGTGCACCTCAGTCCATGAAAATACCAAACTGGCTGTACGCTGAGCTCTGCCAGACGAAAATGCCACTGCGCGAGGTTCACCACCCTCCGCCATGTTGCCGGTGGACACAAAAATAGAGCCCAAGGTCTGAGGGTCCAAGTTAACAATGTAAAAATAATAACCTTTTTCTTCTATCTGGTATCCCACCTACACTGGGGTTTAAAAGAGCAACATAGAACTTCTTGCGCACTCTATAAGAAGCCAGTGTGTAGATTTTAGGTAGTGAAAATTACATACTGCACCTTTAGGATTGTACATTAATCAATCAATCAATGAGATTAGGTGTGTGTCTGTGTGTGTGTGTGTGTGTGTGTGTGTGTGTGTGTGTGTGTGTGTGTTGGGAAAGTTTGACAGTTATAATTAAGCAGACAGCCTGCCCATGGTCTACTCTACAAAACAGAAGTATATGGTAAAATAACGTGATATATGCTATATATGTACTTTTATGTGCAGATAAGACCCTTGAATAACATTGTTTTCCTTAACCATGTTCAAATATAGCATAATGTCAGCACATTAAGAGGTTATAGGTGGATTTGTCAACTCCATCAGCTTACATGTCAACTCCGTCAGACACAAAATCTGACGGAGTTGACGCCTGATGGAGTTGACGTAAGGGCGTGTATTTTCCCTCCAAAACATTTATTGTACAGTGCAGCTAGCTACTTTTTTGGCAGTTTCTAGCTGTCCTGATAATCTCACTAAAATACTTTAATTGAACTCACTATGGTTTAAAAAAAAGTATAATAATGGAGAGACGGTGTTGACATGGTCCAGCTGTGACCATAAAAATATTGACATTGTTTCTCTAAAATATAAAAAACTGTAAAACCTACCAGACCATGTGTGGTGGTGTTGCATTCACCAGAAGCAGGAAATGAAAAGGGGTGCTCAGGGATATAGCTGACCATGATATTGCATGATTTAATGAGGTTTATAGAATAATCTGATGGAGTTGACAGAAACTGAGGACACAACTTTGATAGGCAGATTTTTAGGCAAAAAGCTATTTGATGTTCAGGCCATTCATTGTTTATATATTTATAGCCCTGAATTTTTATTTGATGTATATGTTTTCACAATTATAGAGTTTTTTAAAGTTTTTGGGGCTGGTCAATATTGTGACCTCTTGCTGAGGACACAAGCAATTACATGGACCTTCTAACCACAGACGTTTCATTTAAACAAATATCCCCTAAAAAAGTAAATATCTGTGCTAAAAAATAGGATTGGTATACACAAATGCATTAGATTTAACTTTTTGAGTATGTCAAACATTTAGAATTTCTTAATTGTTTTGAATAAATTAGACTTTTCTATGTAGGACATGTTTTGTCCCGACTCTCAAGAATGGGTGAAATATGAAAAACATAGATGAACCAGCATTAATGTGATTCAGTGGAAATAAGACATTGATATGAACCTTTTTTCTGTGAGAGTTAAAAAACTTTGGCCCTCCCACCTCCTCTCCTCCTTTCTCCTCTAGGTCTTTTCTCTCCTCTTTTTCTATAAGAAAAGCAGACGAAAGGAAAGTTAAAGTAAAAAATGCAAAATGAGAGAAAAACAAAAGACATTTTCAAACAAGTGGAACAATGATAAACCACTATTGTTATGTACCTGTTCCTGTGACAGTTTAAAACCTTCTGCCCTCCCACCTCCTCTCCTTCACCTCCTCCTCTCCTCTGCTTTCCCGTCCTCTCCTCTCCTCTCCTCTCCTCTCCTCTCCTCTCTTTTCTGTCTCTGTCTGTAAAGTTAAACCAAGGAAAGTATAAGTACCAGAATAAAAATATGTGACACAAACAACAGAGGTTTGCATCAACCAAATCATGATGAAGTAAACAAGTATCGATAAGTACCTTTTAAAATGACAATAGAAATCTTTGGCCCTCCCACCTCCTCTCCTTCACCTCCTCCACACCTCCCCTTCTCCTCTCCCCTCCTCTGCTTTTTGCTTTGTCCTTCCCTGAAAAATAAACACAGTTAAAATCTTCACAAAAAACTCAAACATAGGCTAAATATTCTGCAGTATGTTATTAAATATTAAACACTGACCTTTTAAATAGAATGAATACCACTCACCTCCTTACCTCTGTTCTCCTTTGTAATAACTCCTCGTCACCTTTGACCTCTTACCTGCTTTAGATTTCCTGAGTCCACTTTTATGTCGTCTCCCCCATCAAACTAACTAAACTTAAAAACTAATCTCCCCCTTCACAGACACACACGTTTTTTTTAAACTTTTGACAACTAAAACACTAAACACAGTAAAGCCACCACAATATTTTACCTCAAATAACCTGAAGACCTCTTTACAAATCAAGTTTGACTTAAAGAAGGAAAATTCTAAAAATTCATACACTAAAAGAGTGAAACTACTTACCTTAATACTTACGTTTTCGTTTAGGAGCTGGTTTCCTCCTCCACCAGCTCTCAAACCACTCCTCTCTCGCCTCCATGTACAATCTTACCTCTCTCGCCCACTCTGGTTCAGGGATGTCCCACAGTGGGCGAGGCTCAGCCGGCTGGAGAGGACCCAGTCTTGGAGGAGCACTGGGCGCCTGAGCTGCCTCTGGAGGGCCCTGTCCTCGAGCAGCAGTGGCACCCAGAGCTGCACGGGAGGAACCCGGACCTGAAGCAGCACTGGGGGGCAGAGCTGCTTTCAGAGAACCAGGTCCTGGAGCAGCACTGGGGGCCAGAGCTGCCTTCGGAAGGCCCCGTCCTGGGGCAGCCCTGGAGACCCGAGCTACTCTCCTTGGGCACCTCTGTGGAGCAGATGGTCCGGGGGTCGCAGCTGGTTCGGGGTACCGCACCTGCACACCAGGCCTGGACTCCACACCGTCTTCTGTGGAACACCCTGGAAGATCTTCAGACCACAGTTTAAAAGAAATACCAGAGGACTTTGATGGGCCTGCTTCAGGAGCCTCAGTGGATGCCCTCTTAGGAGGACGGGCTTTCACCACCTCACTGAGAGCCGCAAGGGTCTTGCGGCGTTGCTCCTTCCTGGCCACATCAGTTGTATTAGATGTAAACTGTGTGTCTGATCTTACGGGACTGCCAGGGGGACTGACAGGTGTGGAGCTGCTGGAGGCTGGAACCGGGACCCTCCGGAGGACGAGCCGAGGACTGCCGGGCTGACCGGGAACCGGGAGGAGAGCTGCAGTCCAGGTGAAGCGCTGCTCCATCTGCAGGCAAAAACAAACTTCTTAAACTTCTTTAGGGTGTGAGTTTCTGCCTTTGAAACAGCTAACAGTCACTCTCTAATGATGTCATTATACTCTTATATTTTCAAGATCAATAATATGTCAAATTAAATAATCAATAAAAAAATGTTAGTGAGCGTGCACTCATCAGGTTGCCTTTGACCTTAATTACAAAGTTAAAAATATGTAGCCTATCGTGTAAGCTTGTTTGAAGTACATCTTCCTGACCATACTTGACTGATCATCCAACATTTCAAGGGGATTTTATTGAAATTATTTTCATAATTTAAGAATTATAGTTTAACAGTTTGGCAAATGTTAACAATTTGCTTTTATTTGCTCAATGGTTCACATCATTTATACTTTTCTTCACTCAATGGGGCTTTAAAAAAGTCCAAAATTCTCACTTTTCTTCCCTGAGGAAGTCCTGTCCTGGACCTGGTACCTGGTGTCTGGTCTCTGGTCTTGTGTTGGTCCTGTCAAATAAAAGTACTTTAATGGACTTTGTTTTGAAAGAAATTCTCATTTGAAAATAATTCAGCTGTGGCTGCTGGGAAATGTAGGACTGGTCAGTGAGTTTGACTGGATTAAAAACAAAACAACCTCTGAACGTTTAGGTAGCAACTGAAAAACTGTTCATTTTGTACTGAGAAAATACTGATTTTACTAAAAATATACCAAAAATAGCATTCAATTAGTATAAAATTACACTTTGTTGTACCAAACACACTATATTTGGCAAGTTATGTGTTTTTTGTTTGTTTTTTTCTATATGTTTATTTACCACACCAACATACTGTGAGAAACTAAAATGGCTGCAGGACACATATGTCAAAGACTGTACCACAAATCATTCAAGAAATCATTTCATTTGGTTAAAACATGTGCCTGCAGCAGCTTTGGGTTTACTTCTGTAGACTTTGGTTATTATTTTATTCATAAAATGACAAAATCTCAAGGTTAAAGCTAACATTGGTCATGTTCTGTTCATGATAGCATCGGTCACCGCCAGTTCAGTTTAGCTAAATGCTGGACACAATTTTATCAAAACTGTTCAATTCTCACTTTTTTGAAGAAGTCCTGTCTTTAGTCTGTCGTCGGGGTCCTGGAGAAAAAAAGTCGCCTGTAGAAGAAGGTTTTTTTTCGCTGTAAATCCTGTTTTTGTGGGAATATCCAAGAGCGCTTTGAAATGCGTGGCCGATCAGAGTTTTGACTTGCATCAAATGTTTGTTTTTAAAAATGATGCACATTTTAGACAAACCATGGCAACCGTGGGACGTAAAGGTGTTTGGTCAGGACACGTCAGCATCGACGCTCACAGGAGAGGTTAAAGCAGAGGTCAAAAATGAAGCCTTAAGTTCATTAAAAAGTTTTATTTTGCTCTCACAGAAGGCTCTATTTTCAGGCGCACCCCGGCGGAGCAGTGCCCATACATTACCGATGCTTCACCGGCAGGTTTCCACGGTGTCAGGCACATTTCAGTGCATTAAATAGTCAACAACAACCACCATTCAGTTCAACTATCTGAGACAGCACATATATTTACATCTATATCGATATATTCTGATCTATATCTTATCCGATGAGCGCGTTTGGTACGTGTTTGACCCTCCATCTGGCCGAATTAACTTAGCTAAAACCGCATTTAATATCCAGTACATAAATAGCCACACACGATGAAGTTAATATTTAATAATAATAATAATAATAATAATAATAATGCATCAGATTTCATATAGCGCTTTATCAGAGACCCTCAAAGCGCTTTACATTGGATACATCATTCATTCGCATTAGTTAATAAAGGAAACGCTCATTCAAAATGACCTGTGTATCTAATGCTCTCACATCCTTAAAATTCTGTGAATATTCAAATACCACATATTACAATATTCAGAAACAGTCAGACCACGGAGCACGATGCGTCCTTTACGCACTGATGGTTCCGATTTTTATGCCATTATTGGAATTTATGTTGTGATCTGTGCGCACAACCCACCTTTGTCACATGGGGTTTAAATATAAGCAACTTAATGTGATTGTCTTTTTTGTGGAAAAGGATGTTTGTCTTAGCAGTGGGTCCAACCTTACACAAATCCATCTGTGCTTCTTTGAGAGAGTGTCCTCTCTCCGCAGCGCTTACAGCGACACTTGTTGAGGGGCTGCCTTCTGTCGCCGTCGTGTGGCGACGCTGTCTTCAGCCATCTCTTGATCTCTTCTCCTTATCCCCTCCCTCTCTGCTGATTACCATAGACTGTATATACTATGGACAACCTGGTTCTGCCTACCGCCTGTGTACGGATTTGAAGCCAAAAAGCTCTCGGTATTTACGGGATTTTTCTTCATTTCCTGAAACTAGTGCTGTGCAGTAGCGTTGTGCGCATTCGGCCGCGCAGTCGCAGAGAGTCACTGTGATGACGCTCGGCTCAAACAGCGTATCCCCCGGGAGAGCTACTCAATCCCTGAACGCCCATAGGCTGTATCAGGTGTCAATCATAGCAAACATGAACCCCCTAATAACTTTTAAAAACAGAGCTTCACAGAAAAAAGAGGACTTGAGCACAAACCAGTCTTACAATAACTACATGTCAACATCGCAAGCAGGGGGGAGAAAAATTTCTAAAGTTTGTCCACAGCCCCATAAGCTTTGCTGGCGGAGGCGGGATTTATGACCTATATTGCAGCCCATCAACAGAGGGTGCTGTTCTCGGAGTGGCTTCACCTTGCGAGGAGGCAGACAGCGTCCATTCTGTATACAGTCTATGCTACTTACGCCGCTGGAAGGAGCTGAGTTGGGGAGGGGGGATACTTACGCCAGGCTGCGCCGCTCACCAAAATACCAGTGTGCTTGGGCACGCCCCATGGCGCAGGCGAGGCACGAAAATAGAGCCCACAGAGAGCAGCTGACCTGAGAGGGAGTTAAAGAGGTACCAAAGAGAAACAGTATAGCAGTTATTTCCAGTAACCTCGTGTTATTTAATAATCAAGTGATTATTATGACACCAAAGTGATTCCCACATTATTTTGTGAGAAAGAGACCTGATTAACATTTTCTACCCTGAACTTGAGGTCTCGGTGAGAACACACACGTCAGTGGGCCACAGGAATCATGTAGTTCCTTGAAACAAAGTCCCTGGAACCAAAAGTTCTCTGTTCTTTTGGTCTAAAAGTACCTTAGGATATATACCCCATAATCCCAAACTATGAGTGACTATTCATCCTTGCATATAAAGGAGTGATGTTCAATATTTTTGCTATGGGCTGTGATTTAATTCCCCATATGCTGTTTTCTTTGCAAATCTGTGTAACATTTTGTCTCTTACTTAAAATGCAAATGTGAACAAGTATCTTCTTTTAGGTTCATAAAGATTAAAGTTGTGGAAATAAGGCTCATCTGTTGCCACTGTGTTGTGTTAGTTTTTAATCAACTAGTGGAAACATTTCATATATATACATTTTACAATGACACTGTGAGAGACTTGAATGAATGCCAGACTGTGTTGCATCCAGAGGGTCATAAAACTGTCCAGCTTCAAAGCAGCAACAGTTCTAACTTCTAGCCCCTCTGAAACCAAACACCTTTCAATAAGGAAACAATGCAGTTCAGCAATAAACAACAAGAATGGTAAATGTAATCAAACTTTACCTGTCATTGCCTCGAATAAACTCATCACCACCTCTCTATATTACCCCCAAACTCTTCCACAGAGCTGTGCAGCAGAGTTAATACTCCACAGCATCTAAATTGATTTAAATTCTCATCTAAAATTTAGATTTGAATTCAGCACAGGCCAAACAAAGCTGGGCCTTAGCTTCTAGTTTGTAATTACAAATAAATCCATTTTCATACCTGTGCTCTCTTCTTTTGTTCTCTCTCTGCCTTTGTTCCACTCTGACTGAAAATTTCTGACTCAATTTCAGGTTTGATCAGTGTGTTTGGCGGAAAATAAGAGGGATTCTGTCTGGAGACAACCCCAAAGATTTGTGGACAAACGTGATCCAACAAGCACACTTTCTGTGTGTGAACAACCTGAAGTGAAGGGACTGATAATTCTTCGGCTGTTGGACTCTTTTTTGTGTTTTTGTTTTAATGAAAACCTGACCCCTTACATTCTGCTGTTCGTTTCTTCCCAACACAGCCAATCCTAGCAGTGAAAGCACCTCCATTCATGCACTGACCCATAATTTCGCAACCCTGTTTATTTTTACCAGTTAGTCATTTGTCACTAGATGAGGCATTTGACCTCCTCACTAGTCACCCTGAAGTCATTTTGTTGAAGGTTTGGGTTAATTAAATCAGGGATCATGACATCGGGGTTTGATTTATATGAACCTGTTAACTGGTGTCTTTCAGTCAGATGTGTTTATCGCATGTGCCTTATTTAATTCATCACTTCTGGTGAGTATATTTAAAAATTATGATAAAAAAGATAAACCAATATGCATGTGCAAGGACAAAAAGTTGAACATCTGTTAACTATTTCATACATTTTAGCTTTTTTACCCCACATTGTATCGGCTTTGACTTATTATTTCAGCTCTACAGAGTTATTACAATTAAAAATCATGACTGCAGCAACACATACAATTAAAAAAATGGAAACAAAGATGCTATCTACAAACTAATATGATGGGTTTTTTGAGCTCCATATAAATGTAAATGTAAATGTTCTTTATTTATACAACCCTTTACAACAACCCTTTCGGTGAACCAAAGTGCTTCACAATACATAGAAAATTAAAATGAATTAATAAAAACAATAAAAAGCAATATAAACAATAAAGGCAACACATATCCCAAATATTAAGTCCCACTCATATTGCAGTCCCCAGCGAGAGGGTTTTCTCGACAGCAGGGGATATAGTTACTGCCACCAGATCGGCCCTCACTACAGATAATGTAGACAAACTAATTTTTTTGAAAAAAAAACTCAAAATTGAGTGACCTTTTCAAGAGGTGCATAGCTGACCGTACACACTCA